CTAGCCACCATTCTTGTTCTCTGTGTGGATCACCATTGGAGGTTGGACAATTGGACAGCTTGGAATGCAGATCGTGATCATTGGAGTTCGTGAATCAGCAAAGGGTTTTGCAGAATTCATCAAAGGTATAATTCTAATCACAGTTTCTATCTAAACACATTGCAGATCCTCGTTTGAGAATTGAAAATTGTTTATTTCCGCTGTGCAGATTAAGTAAATTCCCAACATGGACAATGTTACGTATAAGACTATAATGTCAACATTCATTGTTTTTGGTTGTTTTGATATATTGAATAAAAAACTTGGAGATTTCTCCTGAAATATTGATATTTGACCGGTAATATGAAGATCCAACAATCTTAGATCTCTATGTTCTTGAACTCCCAAGCTTCGTCTAAGTAAATAGTATCATAACTCAGCTACAACCTAAGATTCGTAGAAACCGTGTGACGAAAATTATGCGACTCAATTGAGTTAGCATAATTGGGTCTACAGGGGATGACATGGGAACAACTAGTAGAGATGAAACTACTGGATCAACAAATGGAAGTGTCAAAATGACAAAATAATGATTTTTTATCAGATGGTTTGACGATTGTAGAAACCCAGTAATTGATGAGTCGACAAAGAGATCCTAGGCGATGATAGCCCTTTCTCTCCTCCCAATACCGAGTGGTAAAGGAATATTATTTTTGGAAGAAGAACATGAATTTGCACTGGTGTTTAATAAAATAACTGATTGGAAGAGGAATATGATGACTTGCATTTTTCACTTTGAGACAAAATAATATTTTCGATGAAAAGATTGATGAAATTTTAGGTTAGAATAACAATATTTGTCACAAGAATTTGTTGACGGGACTCAATTTAAAATCTATGAAGAGTGATTTGAGAAATCACATCTATACTATTATACTGTGTCCGTCTTGAGACAAGAAAGCTATGCATATGGCAATATCCATAAATTTGATGACAAGTCTTACGAGAAATAAATTTCCTCGCATTACATTCATGTGGATAGTCTCTAAACAAAAAGGTAAGATAGCAAATGTTACGGGTCTGTGTTAGACCCTCCACCTTGACCGCCACGTATCAGCATACGTGGCCAATCTACGGATTGGCCGAGGCGATTACACATGAGACGATCTGACTGTACCCACCAAAGTGATTGCCTCCTGGAATGAGCTGAATATGCATCAACGAATGAACCGGACTCATCCGCGAATACACGGTGGATGCAAAGGCCCGCACTCCGCTTCCACAACGCTGCAACCCCCACCTACCTCACCTCGTCTTCAAAGATATCTTGAACAAAGATCTTTCCAAAGTCAAATCCTTGATTGACGGGATGTGTGACAGGTCCCCAAACGGTCAATTCAACTGCCATATCAGAAAACATTAAATGCCGGCCAGCCTATGGATGGACGGATTGACACTTAGGATGGGGCGGATTTTGGAGATCAAGCAACACGTGTCTCCTCATCCAACGGTTCTCCTCTTCTCATCCTTAGTATAAACGTTCCCTCCTTATGTCTGAAGAAAATAACACTTTTCTAAGAGATTCAAGACACTACTACACCAAACACTTGGGTATTATTTTCTCCCCCACGTTGTAGGCACTTTTATTAATATATACATTATCAAACAATTTCCCAGCGAGTGTCCTACCGTCGGTGAATCCCTTTCTGGTTAAACATCAAGCTGACTTGACCGTCGGAGTGCTTGCAGGCTGCAGCCGCTCCTAACCCTTCCGGGAAAGGCCACGAGCAACTGACGGCATGCTACGTGTGCAGGGAGGAGCTGACTTGAAGACATCTTCTGTTGGCCACGTGTTGGGGCGGCTCCCAACCCCTTCGGGAAAGGCCTCAAGCTACTGACGGTATGCCACGTGTGCAGGGAGGAGCTCACTTGAAGACATCTTCTGTTGGCCACGTGTTGAAGCCATTTTTCGAGGTCAACAGCAAATGTCCGTGAATCCGTGATCATTATATACATTTAGCCCCTCCGAGTTCCATTTTTGTAAGAAAATATATTTTGAAATATTGATTTTTCAGAGGAATGTGAGGTTAAAAAATAAGAATACGTTTTTGATTTACTTGTAAAATTATTTTATGAAAGAATGTGTGGTTGAAAATGAGTTTTGTAATATAAATTTCCTAAAAAAATGAGGACCAGACATTTACTTAGTGTACACCGTCCATAATACTAACATCCTTTTAGCATTAATGCTACAGATTAAAGATCAATATATGATCCGCATTCCACGTGAATCTATTTATGTAACTATTTTCCTTCATTTTCTCTACTCATTCAATTGAGTAAATTTTGAAATATAAAATTTTTTATTGATTAAAGTTGTGTACGACGGATTTCGCGTATTAAAATACAGAAAACGTCCCAAAATTGTATTTTAAGAAATACAAATAAATGAGAATCTTCTTGTAATTGCAAAATTGCATAACCCTCTGATTAATGATCTGAATGTTTGAAGACAAGGAGCCACGTGACTTGAATTCAAGATTTCGAGAACTGTTGAGAATTTGATTTGCCGAGAACTTGACTTGTTGACGCTTGAGTTTCAGAGCTTGGATTTGGA